CATGGATATTTGTATCCAAGACTTGTCCTGGCACAGATGTCGTACCCCGGATCTTGTCTAATATATACACTATCGAACACAATCCATAAATTTGCTAGTTTCTAATTGGTGTGTTGCACTTTGTATTATCACTAAACACCGAATTTCCCGTGTATCCCTCTGATGTCCCGAAATATGAAGCCTTATTGACGAGCGCGGCGCGACGTGTGCACCTCCCACGACCCTCGAGACCAGACTGGTCTCGAGGGTCTGTGTGTGTGTGTGTGTGTGTGTGTGTGTGTGTGTATTCACCTAGTTGTGTTTGCGGGGGGTGAGCTTTGCTCTTTTGGCCCCCTCTCAACTGTCAATCAACTGTTCACTAACTATTTTTTTTCCCCACACCACACCACACACACACACCCCAAGAAGCAGCCCGTCACAGCTGACTAACTCCCAGGTACCTATTTACTGCAAGGTAACAGGGGCATTCAGGGTGAAAGAAACTTTGCCCATTTGTTTCTGCCTCGTGCGGGAATGGAACCCGCGCCACAGAATTACGAGTCCTGCGTGCTATCCACCAGGCTACGAGGCCCCAGTGTGTGTATGTGTGTGTGTGTGTGTGTGTGTGTATTCACCTAGTTGTGCTTGCCGGGATTGAGCTCTGCTCTTTCGGCCCGCCTCTCAATTGTCAATCAACTGTTTCTACTACTACTATTTTTTTCTCCACACCACACCACACACACACACACACACACACACACACCAGGAAGCAGCCCATGACAGCTGACTCCCAGGTACCTATTTATTGCTAGGTAACAGGGGCATATGGTGAAAGAAACTCTGCCCATCGTTTCTCGCCGGCGCCCGGGATCGAACCCGGGACCACAGGATCACGCGTCCAGCGTGCTGTCCGCTCGGCCACCAACTCTCTTTGTGTGTGTGTGTGTGTGTGTGTGTGTGTGTGTGTGTGTGTGTGTGTGTGTGTGTGTGTGTGTGTGTGTATGTGTGTGATATATGTAAATGATCTCCCAGAGGGAATAGACTCGTTCCTCTCAATGTTTGCTGATGATGCAAAAATTATGAGGAGGATTAAGATAAAGGAAGACAGTATAATGCTACAATATGACCTAGACAAGCTGAAGGAATGGTCCAACAAATGGCAACTGAAGTTCAACCCAAGTAAATGTAAAGTAATGAAACTAGGTGGAGGAAATAGAAGTCCAGACACGAGATACCGAATGTGAGATGAAGTCCTTAACGAAACGCAGAGAGAAGGATCTAGGAGTTGATATCACGCCAAACCTGTCTCCTGAAGCCCACAACAAAATAATAACACCGGCGGCTTATGCGAGGCTGGCTAACATCAGAACTGCCCTCAGAAACCTGCATAAGGAATCTTTCAGAACCTTGTATACCACGTATGTAAGGCCAATCCTGGAGTATGCGGCCCCATCGTGGAGCCTGTACCTTGTTTCAGAGGTATGCCACTAGGCTAGTCCCAAAATTAAGAGGCATTAGTTACAAAGAAAGGCTTCGTGAAATGCACCTCACGTCGCTGGAAGATAGAAGAGCTCGGGGAGACATGATCACCACATTCAAAATTCTCACGGGAATTGACAGGCTAAACAAGGATGGATTATTTAACACGTGTGGTACACGCACAAGGGGACACAAATAGAAGCTAAGTACCCAAATGAGTCAGAGACATTAGAAAGAACTTTTCCAGTGTCAATAGTTAGTAAATAGAAAGCACTAGGAAGTGATGTGGCGGAGGCAGACTCCATACACAGTTTCAAATGTAGATATGATTGAACTTGAGAAGCTCAGGAATCTTTACAACAATACGGTAGAGACGCGGAACCAAAGAGCCACAGCTCAATCCCCGCAAACACAACTAGGTGAATATACACACACACACATGTAATTTCAGAGCGGTATACGACAAAGAGTACTGGGAAGACGGGACACCACGAGCATAGCACTCATCCTGTAACTACACTTAGGTAATTGCACACACACACGCACATAGCGTTAGGGAGTTGCAGTCCAAGAACCTTGTCGAGGCAGAAACAAATGGGCAGAGTTTCTTTCACCTGATGCCGCTGTACAGCTACCTGTAAACAGGTACCTGGGAGTTAAACAGCTGCTACCGGCTGCTTTCTGGGGATGTGTATGAAATAGATAATAGATGTATGGTACGTTATATTTGTTTTAGATTCAGCTACTCAGAACTAAAAGTTCCAAGTAGCACGGGCTATGGTGAGCCCGTAATTAGAGCTCTTTGGAGCCATTATCTGTATCGATAGCTGATACTAGAGATCTGTTGATGGATGGGGGTCTTCATGGTGGATTTCAGCCTCGGAGGGCTGGCTGTACCAGTTATGGAGCTGGTGGGTTAGTGTAGACCTCTAGGTCTTCCGTTTTTTCTTGAGACTTTGGCTGAGCCGTGCTGTCGTTGGCGCTTGGTGAGGTGGTCTCTATGAGAGGGTCTTGTACCGAGTAGGTGTTGTATTGTGGTGCGGCGGTGGAGCTCCTACTAAGATTTCCTCGTCTGAGGAGTCCGTAACATCTGTAGTTGGTGGTTTTGTCTTTCGTCTCGCAGCCTGAGGTAGGCTTAGGTGTCGTGGATTGGTGGTAGAAGCTCTTACAGGAGCGTTGGTGGTGCTGTTAGTATTTGTAGACAACACGTCTGCTAGCGCGTCTGCTGAGATAATGATGATAGGAGTGTTGGGAGCTGGAGAGGGAAATATCTCTGTTTGTTCCACCAGGGTCTTGGGTGATCCTCGAGTCTGTCTTGAAGTCGACCTCGTGGTCGTCCTGGTGGTAGTATCTGGAGTGGTAGTGGAGGCAGTGAGACTTGCGCCAGGGGCTTGTGATGGGGCCCAGGCCATTGGCTAGGTATAATGCGTTCAGTTCACTGACGAAACGCTAGTTGTATGATCCGGAAAGCCTCTCCGCTAGTCTAATATGATCAGGAAAATGCCCACACATGATGCAGGAGGCTGCAAAGGAGCCTGTGGGGCCTTGGGTCCCCAATGTGTAGGTTGGGTCGCCTGGTGGGAGGAGCCATTATTTTGTAAGACTGGAAAGTCTTCTTGTCGGTTGGTGGGAGCTGAGGTGGTGGGTTGAGCACCTGGGGCTCTGGTCGCAGAAGTAGAAGGGTTGTTTCTCTTGGCTTCAAACTGGGTCTTGATATTTTCCGGTCTGTGGGGGGGGGGGGGGGGCAGCGGAAGGAAATTACGGGGTGATTGCCATCACAGAGCAAGCCGCGATGGATTGTTGCTTTGCATATGGAGTCGTGATGGTCCAGTGCACACAGGCTACACTTCTGGATGGGGTGCTGACACTTGTTGGTGGGGTGGGAGAGTCCGTAGCACTTGAAGCACTGCTGGATCTCATGGTATGGTTCCTTTTTAAGTTGTTGGGGTGGTATTTGTAAGCCGAAGCAGTAGAAACCTTGTGTGGCAACCTAAGCTGCCGCAGCTAAGATGGTGAAAGTAATCTTCATTGATGATTTGTCGGTGCTGTATAACTCTAGGTCGAATACACCAAGGTTCGGATTTTCGTCCTCAATATTGTCCATGATCTTATGTTGCGGTCGGTCAGCGATCCACTGGCTGGTCCTGCTGGTAAAGACAGTTCTTCCGGCCAGGAACTGACGTGGGAAGTGATGATGTAGGTGGTGCTCTTTGCGAAGTATGGCATCATTGGTCAAGTATTTTTCTAGTTCTTCCTCACATGAAAAGAAGAGCACGATATCATCACCTTCCTGACTAATGTCAGTGGTTGTATTGCCGGCCACGTCCTTCAGGGCCTTCAGAATATTGCTTTTCCAGAAAGCATGACCATCAAGGAGGAGGGGGGGGGGAGCTCTAACCTTTAGACGTTTGGGTCGCATTGTGTCCACACCCTCAACGGGTCGCAGTGTGAATGATATATAGTAGTAGTAATAGAAATATATAGTAGAAATATATAGTAGACTATTAGGGATACCTGGTGGTGACCAGGATAATCTCCCCTCCCCTTATTCCCCCCCCCCCACCATCAACCTGAGTTGTGAGTGATGTGAGAGCTGTGAGAGGGCTGTCCGGAGGCTTGTGTGAGAGCTGTGAGAGGGCTGTCTGGAGGCTTGTGTGAGAGCTGTGAGAGGGCTGTCCGGAGGCTTGTGTGACAACATGCTGGTGCTGTGTTAACAACAAGTGCGGGAAGGGTAAGTGTACCTCATCAGCATGCATTAGGCGGGAGAATGAAGGTGAAGTTGAGTGAGAACTGGTAGATGAGTACAGAAGAGGAGCAGATAGTGATCTCAGAGATAGAGAACCTGGACAAGTGAACCTTTAGTGCCGTGTGAGATGTATGCAGTAAATGTGTGCTTAACTGTGAGAGAATGGGAGGCGCTGCTTGGTGGGATAAAGGGGCAGCAAAACCAACTGATGATAAAACTAAGAAATGAGTTTTATAAATACAAAGCAAACGAAAGAGAAAGAAAACGAGAGTATGATGCGAGTAATTGATATGTGAAAGAATTAAACTTAAGCCAAAACTGAAAGGAGTAAACTTAAACAAAAAAAGTGAATGAGAAAACGGAGAAAAATGATTTAGAAAATGGGAAGCGCTTTTGGAAAGCATCAAGAAGGTGCAACAGAGAGGCTGATAAAAGGTTTGAGGAGAATGTTAGAGACAGACATGTGAGTGTTAAATAGTGAAGACGAGATCAGAAGTGGGTAGAGAGAATACCGATAAAACTCTCTTCTTTAATTACTTCCAGTAATTTCCAGTAACTCTGATTTTCCAGTAAAGGGTATTATATTCTAAATATGGGCATTTTGTTAAATTGTCCCAGAAACAACTAGCTTGGCCATAACTGTTCTGGTGTTGGTGCTTGCCAGTGGCAGCGATCAGGCCTCGGCCCAGGGTGTCACGGCACCACTGTGCGTGCTTCCGTGTCAAGTCTGTATGCATGTCCGTGTATCTTAACTTCCCAGCCAAACACCATAACCGGGGCTGGTTATCTCCTGCAGGTGAGTGCCACCGCCGGTGTCAGGTGCTGCCAACGTGCCACTCGGTGTCAGTGCTGAGAACAGCAGGAGGCGCCATGGAGTGCCGCGTGTCTAAGAGACCTGCCGTGCTGACCAACGTTTGGGACCGCCCCAAGCTCTACCGGAACCCCACGGCCATCCACTTTCTCTTCACGGGTATGTTGCTGCTGCTCCAACTGTTGCTATTGCTGCTGCTCCTGCTGTTGCTGCTGCTTCTCCTAAACCCTAGTCCAGAGGCAGTACAGGGTGACGCAGTAAACATTGGTTTATACAGTCCAGAGACAGTACTATATGTGCCTGCAGGATCATGGACTCCTGGACCCCACCTTTCTATTGTCGGTTATATAATTACTGACTCCCAAACAATTTTACTCTGTCAATCCTCTAAGTATTTTATAAGTATATATAATGTCTCCTATCTCTCCTTTTTCTCAAGTGATGGCAGGTCAAATTTGTTTAATCATTCCCCACATCCCATACCCTCGCAATTCCCAAACAAGACACGTTTCAGTGATCTAAATGCCTCATAATTTAGGTTCCTGAACAATGTTCTGACTTTTGCCATTGTAGAGTACGCAGCTCATGGTATCCAGTTTACATATACCTTCGGAATTAGGCTTGGACTTACACCCACTCCCAGGGCTTTTTCTCTACCCTTTACAAGGAGGAATGGTTTCCTTTATTGTGTAATGTTCTTTTGGACTCCTGGCATCTGGTCCCTTTTCCACCATCTTTCACTTGCTTGTTTATATATCTGATCCCCTCTAGGTGTTTAACTAGTCTTATTTTTATTCTCCTTCCGAGTATCTTGCTGTCTGCAGAGGATGCTTGTAAGTGATACTGGTCTGTAATCCAGTGCCTACTCTTGTTGGAAATTTCCAACACTAATACAACACTGTTGTATTATTATTACTAAATCTACTAATCACTGTAGTAACTAAAATTAACCAACCGTAGAGTTCACATGTACTAATAATTTTATCTGTACAATAAGGCTAGAATTCTTACGTCACCAGACGCCAATATTGCGTCAGATTTCACCATAATAAACACATCTATATCCAGTGTGTCAGAGAATTGAGTTTGATTCTCTAAAAACAACAGTGTTCTGTGTGATAATTATTTACCGATAACCTGACTCCCAAATAATGCCAAATTAAGCATTTCTAGTTACAACTGTTATCTGGTAATAAATTTAACGTCACGCATGAATGCCATGGAGAGAATTAGATTCATCTCCATTGCTCGTTTACCACCGTAAAACGAGCAAATAATAATATTCAACTCTCCTGAATAATAAACCCGTCATTATCCAAGCATTTTAGTCGCAACTGCGAGAAATAATATTATTCGCCGTAAATAATTTGTGTAGCAAATGCGGGACGCGGAGCAGGGGGCAGGGGAGACGCCATTACTCGAGAAGACGACACCGAGAACGTGTGGAAGAGGAAAGTCGCCACTGTGCGGTGTGAAGAATAGTTGCGGAATTGAGCAACTTGGCTGGTGTCAGTGTCATAGGATACATCGTGGTGAATCGTCAACGAGAATTAACTTGACATTCAGCCCGGAACCTGTTAATTTGTTCCGTGTAGTCCATCGTGACCGGCCAGAGAAGCGCGTCGACATCTAGGCTAGGCTCGACGCCACGTGTTCGCTATTACGATGCTAGAGCCTAGGACGCGAGCTTCGGCAAGCCTCAACTTACACAGTGCCCTATTAGCTAAGTACTTTTATTCCCTTTTGATGCATCATTAGAGATAGGTTATAGCCGGGTAGCTTCTCGTCACGCCGAGCGACATAAATAAAACACATGTTAGTATCAATTTCCACTCTCCATTTCTAATTTCTTGAATATAGATAGTTAGCAGCCTAATATGTTGCTACGTAATATATCTTGATTTACAGCTTGCGTGTGAAGAATTCCCCGAGCTGTCATTTCCCGTGTTAATCATCTCCCAGTGTTCCATGATGAGTTCAGGAGATTCCGAGGATGATTCATGACTGATGTCTTGGAAAACGTCTTCAAGCTAAGACCTTTTTCCGTATTCCATTAATTAAATTATCTGTAGTGTATTATTACTACTGATCACTGTTCACTGGATTAACACGTGTTTATTATAATCATTAATTTCTGATATTCATAATCTATGTTCTTATTGGTGACAAATTTATTGATTCTGTAATTGGTCATAGGATTAGGTTATTGCATAATGAACTGGTGTACGAACCACACTAGTTCCTAGACATATATGAAGTTCTAGTAATACCTCCCCCCAATGTAGGTGTTTGAGGCTTTGATTCAATTAAATTGTATACAGCCCATTAATTATACAAGTGATTATATTTTCTAGTATTTATCCATAGTTACTGGTTCCTCTAGGAATTTTCTAATGATCACATTTTATTAGTTTCCCTCTTTACTATAAAAGCGGGTGGTCCTTCGTAATTGATTTCATTACATTAATATTTAAATAAATAGAGTCAAGCCCCAAATGTACCACATTATGGTCCTTATTGAACCGGATAAACATAAATTATAATTATAAATACTAATTAGTAATAACTAATCCCTGTGTGATGTAATCTAGACTAACCATTTAATTAATTGTGTCTACCAACAGCGTAACACATAAGTTAGTCTAAGTCACACCAATTCATTGCTACTTTCACCTCATGTATAAGGTAGCACTCGTGGGACACAGTCAATTACCCACAACACTTAGACCTATCCCTCATACAGAAGTAAGAATCTTTAGGTCACCAGGAGCAACAGCTTATAACTTTTATAACAATTCCACACTAACACCTGCGTTAGAGTGGCCTCACCATCTAACCATTATATACTTAGGTGGTAATGACATCCATCCTACTCGTCATCCAGCTGAGGTGATCAAGCACCTTAAAGCCATAATTTCTTCTTTCAAGCTCATCAGTAATTCGGTAGTATTCACGTTAGTGGAACCTCGCCAACCAAGTCAAGATAATCGCTGGGGAGTAACACCAGAATACTACCAAAGAGCTGCTAAGTACATAAATTTCAGGCTGAAAAAACGAGTGAGATTGGATGCCACTTATATCCAATTTACAGCCAGACCTTATAGACAAAACCTGGCCAGAGATGGTGTACACCTGTCAGGTGAGTCTAGGTTGGATGTGGTTGACAAATTGATCAACACCATCAATTATCACAAACGGCTGTGGCTAGCAAGCCAAACTTAACTGTACATAATTGTTTCACTTGTGTGTGCAAGTGCACACTTATAAACTATAAAAACAAAAAACAAAAAAATACAGCACAATTATATTCACCTTACTGCACCACAATAATCTTTACCAATCTTATTATGTAGAATTTAGGCTGAGATTGTGCTGAATTTGGTACAAGCCCAGACTAAATAAATTTATAGTTCTTAGGTAAGAATTATCACGACTAGACTTAAGCTAGTCAGTAGTGTATGTATTATACCATTTGTGCTGACCCTATCCAGGGTGGGATTAAACTTTGAGATAACTCTGATTGGAGTGTCTCCATAATATTTCATCTTGTACTCATTATTTTGTGTATTGCTGGATGATCACCATTACATCTAATGGTGATATAGAAGAGCTAACCGGACGAAAGTTAGTGGTGAAGTTCAGACAATGCACAAAATATCTAGCTATTTGTTGTTAGGTAGGTACATTTAACCTCAAGTGAGGTAGAGTATAAATTAGCCACATTAAATTAGGCTGCATTTAATGTTACTTGTCAACTAATGAACAAGTACCCAAGCTTCATTAGTAATACTTATTCTAATCCCATGAAGTTTGGATCTAAGCCCAACATGGCTACTCCTGAGCAATTAAGGAGAACCTATATTGGCCTTAAAGGTCATTTAACCAGACTAATTAACAAAGCTGAGGGCTTATCTAAAGAAACTCCCATTGACTCTTATCACTTAGAGGCATCAGTAAGAGTAGCTGATCTGAAATTTGATCAAGTTAGGTCTACAGGTCGGTCTTATATTACTCTACTGAATACCATAGAAACTGATCCTGATGAAGTAAGTCAAATTGTAGACGGTATCTCCCAGTATGAAGAGGCGACTCAAGATAAACTTTACATGCTATCTAATCTAGCAAAACAATCTAAATCCAATACAAGTAATACAGTGCCTCAATTCAGTAACCAACTACCAGAGGTTCGTTTACCTACTTTAGACTTACCTACATTTACAGGATTAGATACAGAAAATTGGGACAATTTTTGGACTTCATTTGAAGTTCATATACATAAGAAACCGTCTCTTGACAAGGTTTCTAAATTCTCATACCTGCTTAGTCTTCTCAAAGGAGAGGCTAAAAAGGTCATACATAACCTAACTCTCAATGAGAGTAATTATGAGGAAGCTATAAAACTGGTGAAGTTGAACTATTGCAACAAAGATTTGAGTATAGCTAACCTTTATTACCAATTGCTAGATCTGAATGCACCAAATAGTAGACCAGAGTCACTTCAAAGCTTCAGACTAGAAGTAGAGTCTCTAGTAAAGGCCTTAGGTACTAAAGTTGATATACCAGCTTCAGAATGGTCAATCAAGTTACTTTTGCAGAGGAAATTACCTCGAAATGTCTTGACAGAGCTTTGCTCACACTATAAAACCGAGTTTCTCACTCTTGACCAAATATTCGAGGGACTTAGAATAACGGTTAACAGGTTGAAGACCCATGATAAAATTAAACCTGAGTCTAAACCAACTAATACTGACACTTCAGTCAAACCCAAACAGACTTTGAATATGTCTAATAAATATAAATCTAAGACTACTCCATCCACTGGAAAAAGAACTGGTAATGTAGGTACTTATTCGGTGTCTCCTTCTGAGATGACAAATGACTTGTCTACTAAAGAGACCAAGTCAACCAAGGAGAGAAGGTGTCTGTTTTGCAATCAAGGACATGCCACCTACCAATGCTCTGGTTATCCTACTTATAATACTAGGATTAAACGGTTACAAGAAATACACAAGTGCACCAAGTGCATGGGCTCTCATGAACCCAAAAAATGTGTAGTGCAACTACGTTCCTGCAATAGATGCAACCAAGGTGTACATCACTACGCCTTATGTAGAAAAACTTCTACCCAATCCATGACAACTGGGGAGAATTCCACGAATTCTACCACAGTACAATATTGCAAAGTGCATCAAGAAATAAATGTACTTGCTACTGAGTCAGGCAATAATACCACTCTGCCTACAGCTCAACTTAGACTAATAAACAAGAGATTTAGAGTTAACACTAGAGGTCTTTTTGATCAAGGATCACAGAAAACCTTCATTACACAACAGTTAGTAGAGCAGTTAAAATTAAAACCTGCCAAAAGTGTGAGATTAAATATTTCTGGTTTCTTGACTAATAGTGGACCTCGTGAATACCAAGTAGTTAAGGTATTAGTGAGACTTGGATCTTCCACTAGTCCAATACAAGCGGTAGTAGTAGATAAACTTCCTACAGACCTGCAGGTCACAGGATTAGCTCGCACTGCGAGACATTTTAAACGAAACCGCATGAGGCTAGCAGACTACAAAATAAATTCTGACTGCCTCACTGATGTTGGAATACTTATAGGCGCAGATCATTATTACAAATTTATAACTGGATGCACCAGACAACACGGAATGAATTTGTTGTCATCTGCTGGAGGCAAATTGCTTACTGGACCGGTGCTTTTCCGACAAAATCCAGCGTCAACGAACCAACAATCTAACAACATAATAGTGACATGACTAGGCTTGGAACAGTCACCCCTACGTTTCAGAGAAATATCTGAAGATATTGAGTCTGATCCACCTGTACATCGTCTGTGGGATTTAGACACTTTAGGTATTATCCCTGAGCAACCAAGCCCTGATGATATGTGGACTTACCAGCAATATCTGGATACCGTTGTCTATGAAAATAAACAAACAGA